ACAGAGAACCCTGCCCAATCCATGTTATTGCAACCAGATGGTGCTTTAGCTTTCAAGATTATTCAAGATCATGAACATAAGAAGTTAATTGTGTATTTTGATACTTGGGCAAGCTTGGATAAAGTACTCAATACGAAATTCAACTTCAAAGAATTTAAAGATATTTGGATTTGATACTTTTTGCCTACTTTGAACTGGCCTAGAAATAAGTCACCAAAAAAGACGGATTCTACTTAGAAACAGAATTAAAACAAGATTCTGAATATTATGCTGAAAGACTTAGATGGACAGAAATAGAAGGGAAAGTCTTTAGGAAAAAAGAAGCAATCTACTTCGAAAAATAAAGGCTTTAATGGCAATGACAAACTTTTAATTTTAGCTAAAATTAGAGCATTGCTTAGACTATTGGCCAACTGATAGGAGGACTGAGCCAAATAGGAATTTTGGAATGTTGGAGTACTCACTATCTAGTCTAAATATTATTAATCCTTTTTTTTTATTCTGAAATTTTTATTTAAAATCCTTTTTTTTTTCTTATTGTTTTACAGTAGGTCTTGTTGAATTTTTCTAGGACTGAGACTGAAAGAAAGGGTATCCCTTCTAAAAAAGGACAATTTCACATTGGACTTACTCTCATAGTTCCAAATTCACCTAACAGTGCACATGTGGGATTCTCTTGTAGGATGACAAGTGGTTTATTAGTTATCGATATTAGTTTAAATTTATATTATATTACTCGTATATGTATTGATATAAATATTATTTTAATAAACTAATAAATGTGCTGCAGTTAAGGTTGTTTGCTAAAACCTAGGGGTTTAGGTAAGATGGCGTTTCGCTGAAAAGCAAAATTCTGCCAAAACTATATTAAAGTTATATTAAAAAACTGGCGAAACTTTGGAGAAAAGCGAAACTGCCTAAACTTATTATAAATGCTGAAACTGCCTAAACTTTGCCTAAACTATAATAAATCTATAGTAAAATTTTGACGAAACTAATCATAGGATTTTGAAGAGGTTTAGACAAGCAACCCTAGCTGCAGTAAAAAAAAAATAATAATTAAACTACAAACCACTCATCATACGTATAGTACCCTATATGTGCATTGTTGACAAAGTAATCATTAGACTCAGTAGGTAGACAATATTTGTAATTCATCATCTTATTAGTCAGACAGCCCTATCTTTAAAGTTAGGTAATTACAAGATCTACTATGCTACTAATTTTCCTTTGGTATCGAGTTTATGTTGCATTATTGCGATCTTCTAAGATTTCCAAACTGCCAGTACTCCAGTGATGAATAGATGGTATAAATGATTTTTACATCTGTCCATGTATTCTTTAAGGTTTATTAACTTGCGTTCGCATTTGTCAATAGGCGTGTAAATAGGTAAATTAAGGTGTGCATGTATTTCGCTGGTAATTAATTTTGACATTTTTCGTTTGTCAGACATATTTATATTTAGCAATATTTCAAATTCTATCATCTTGGTGCATCAAGATTTCCATATGAATTCCTTAAAAGCTATATGAAAGTATTTAATAATTTTAAGTGATATTAATTTTACTATTGACCTAGATATAAGTAACTTCAGCTTTTTGACAATTGTGTGTGAAATCAACTTTCTCAATAATTCTAGTCTGTTTCTCTGTTTAAGTTCTGGGAAAGCAGAATCTCTATATTCAAAGATACTGCAATGTAAATCTATTATAGTAAAAGGTTTGTTATGTTTAAATCTTTTGAAATATTTCCATATCTTATCTATAACTTTTGTTTCTACCAGCATAAACCTACATTCTGATCCTGAATATATTACCAAGTGTTCAAAAGATTCTTCATAATTACAGCAAAAGTTTTTATAGATGTTATTGCATTTTCTGAGATTATCAGCTGTAGGTAGTAAATTGTTTAATGTCTTTATGAAATTAATTAAATTATTGTTAGTATTAAAGCTATTGCAGCGACCTTTGTTGATATTATTGAGATATCATTAGTGAGTGGACTATTTCCATTTATTATGTTTATTATGATATTGATGATCTAAAAGAGTCTTTCAATGATTATTAAATGACCATGCAACCTTATCTATTAAACAACTCTGAAACTATTTTACAAAAATACTATACATGTCTATCTATTTCTATATAATGCCAAGACAGCCAAGTAGGTAGAAAAATTAAAGGAAAACTAAAATTACAAAGATCTTGTAAATTAATTATTCTATTCGTATTAATTATCGCTATTTTTCTTTTCAATTTAGTTATCGAATCAGCTATATTATTCCAATAGCATTCTGAGTGACCTTTAACTTTATATAACGTAAACCTGAATCTTTTCATTTTAATAATATCATAAATAGTAAATAAAATGATATAGTTGTTAGATTTAAGAAATTTGTGGTCATGCATTATACCAATATTATTAATCTTGTTGATTCCATTGATGGCTGCTTGATTATTTGTGTAGATATGTATATATAATCTACTGGAAGTGATAAGTACTGCTGTCATAATAGCAAGTAACTTGAATCTGGTCAATAAAGAATTGAAGAACTAATGATAGTACACCCGCATGAGAAGCTTATTTTTGTGTTTTTGATAATCCATCCTGCTCCTATTACTGTAATATATTCATTATTCAAGCAATTCAAATCCATCGAACTATCTGTATAGAAGTGGAGTTCCTTTTTATTAAATTGTTTAAGATCTTTAAGAATGACTAATAATTCAGTATTAAGTATTAGTGATAAAATAATATGATTAATAAGTTTTACATCTTGATTCGTAATTTTAATCTTCAATAATAGAAGTTCATTTCAATGTTTTGATGGAGTTGTAATTTCTTTTTTCTTAATTAAATTAATAGGTATTAGAATCTCGTGTATAATAGAATCTAATCAGTTGTTAGTTGTACATTTGATATTTATAATCGCTGCATTGTGATATTTGCCTCATTTCAAACATGTAAGTGAATCATTTGTATTGATTAAAGGAAAGAACATCCAGTACATTATGTAATCAAATTACTTTCATTTTGCTTGATCCAGTATTGATATGTAAATGATGTGAGGAAGTTTTCTTAATAATTTTTCCATATTGATAATCTTCTCCCTCTAACATGACAATTTATTCTTTATGTTTACCATCCTTCAAAAACAGAATAGGTAAAATAGGTGCAATATTACACATCGCAAGTACTACGTTTTGAAATTATTGTTTAATTGTACATTAATAGTCAGTATATCCATCGATAACTATGTCTTCAATGTACTTGTAGAACATCAGAATTGAGCTTTTGGATGACTTTCCAAAAATCCTTTTGACTTGTTGCTATATTAGTAATTTTGTACTATTATTATGTGTAATATGTTTGAAGAAAATTATGTTGAGTAATTCCATATGTCGTCCAATAAACGATTTTAGAGCTTTCTTTTTTGATTGTTCAAATACATTGAAATCTGTGTAGTTAGCTTTTGTTTGTATTTGTATAAGTATAACCGAAAAAATAGTATGATGGTGTTATGTAATCAAATTCCAATCGGTGTGGACTGTTAGCGTGAAACTAAACATTTGATCTTTAAAAGATTTTGAGATTGAAATTAAAATTATTATTGAGATTAGCCTTTAAAATATTTTCTGGCTGATCTATCAAAATATATCCTTACAATCTAAGCTAAAGTTGTGCATTTTTAAGCGAGATTCTCATACTTATACTATCCTAGTCTCTTGAATTAATTCTAATTATGAGTTCTGAATATTGGGCTATGCATAAATGCTGGGCCAGTGGTATCAGACTTATCAGAAATTATTATACTATTTATATATACTTTTTTAAATAGTATTTTCACTATATTAAATAATTCAATATTTAGTGATATAGCATATATATAGATTTATTTTTATAGTAAAATTATATCTTATTAAAATCTGAAATCAGAAATTATTTTTATAATAAACAATTTAATTTACTTAATAGCCATATTCTAGTACTTTGAAATACAGGTATTTTATTATAGAATAAAAGTAGTTATAACAATATAGCATTCTATTAATTATACCATTATCATGACTGAATTATAAGAGATCCTATTATTCCAATATAAATATACCTGCTACTTAATAAGGTATGTTTTCACTAAAAACTTTAGATTTGAAAATGTTATTGTTCTATTAATATTTTTAGTATATTATTGATAAATTACAAATATTAATATTTTTAAAGTATTATGAATTTTCAAATTTTCCAATAATTATTTATAACTATAAAGGAAATTGATTGTATTGACTGTATTGCTAAATTTACTAATTTTTTTAAATTTTATTAGTAATTTAAATTATTTAATACTTATAATTTTATACTTAAATATACTTGATATTTGTATATTGCATATGATATATTGCATGTGATAATATAGGTTCAAAGACGGGTAATAAATATTTATTACTATGATATATAACATAAAAAGTGACAAAAGGCATTCAAAAAAGGGAATTTATACAAATTTATCTAAATAATCTAATACTACCTCTTGCATCTAAACTTAAGGATTTTCCGTGATACAGTATATACTATATATATTTAAACGTTAAAAAAAAAAAAGAAATTGATTTATTAAAATAAATTAAAAAAAAAATTTGCGTAATAATTAATATAAAATTATCGATCTCTTGCGTATTTACTAAATTTACGTATAAACTAATAATTAAATTCATTTTGCTTATAAAAAAAATACAAATAATACTTAAAACCATAAAAAAAAAAATAAAGACGAAATTTTTTTTTGCTTGTGTAAATCAGAAAATTTAAACCATAACGAATATTCTCTCATAAAACTTAGAAAATCATAAAAAAATACGAAAAAAAAAAAAAAAATGAGATTTTTTAATTAGGAAGAAGATTAAATAATTCTTCAACCTTTTCCTTTTCCTTCTCCATATAAATATGGTAAGAAGATAATTGAACACGTTGTTCTTCTTTAAAATCTTTTGATAAACGAAAATCAATAATGAAAACGCGTTCATCATTAACATTATCATTATTATGATTACGACCCACGATAAAATTAGATTCTTGAATATCATTTTGAATAATACCGAGACTATGAATAGCTTTAATAGTAGTTAAAGCAGCCTCTTTATGAATTCGAGATAATCTTGAAGTTTGAATAATATGATCAGTAGCAAGAACATATTTTTCACCTTTTAAAGTGATACCATTATATTTTAATCTTGGAATATAAACACCTTGAATAACTGATAATCTCTTATAAATTCTAGCTTCTTTTTCTAAATCGAATCTTTTTTTATCATTTACTTCAGTAAATTTTAAAGCGAGATGATGACCATCATATTCAGCCAAATATATATCATTAATAATTTCATTTTTTAAATTAAGATTATTCCAATTCAAAAAATCCACAGTAATATAAGATAAATTATCATCATCATGACGAAATTTTTTAAAATCGGAATCATCATCATCATCATTAGTAGAAGTAATAGGACGTTTTCCATAATTAATAGAAGAAGTAGAAGGAATATTAAAAGTTTCAATAGAAGAAGAAGCAGAAGTAGAATAAGGAAATCTTTCATAAGAATAATCAATAAAATAATCAGTATTACTACTAGTATTAGTATTAGTAGTAGTAGTAGTAATAGTAGTAGTAATAATATTAGAAGGAATTATTGGATAAGGAGTTAATAAAGATTCATTTTTTGATAAATATAATAAATAATTCCAAGATTGTAAAATAGTTGGATTATTAGAATCACTTTTTTGACATTTTGAAATGAGTAAAATAGAAGAATCATCCTCAGATCTTTTAATGAACCAATTAAATTCATAAGTAGTTAATACAGAATATTTTAAACCCAATTCACACATATAATCATAAACTTCATTAATATTATCAGCAAAATCACCAGTATTATGCTGATATGCATCAATTACATCATGATCATTATTAGTACGTAAAACTCTATGAGTTCTTGATGCAACGGAAGCAATAATTTGATCAGATTCATTAAGTACATTCCAATCAATTAAAGAATTATTTGTTGATTTAGATAATTCCAAATCATCATGATTTAATTTACTTGTTAAAGCACGAACAATTTGTAATTCAATAACTTGATTTAATTCCTCTTTTGTTGAAATTGGAGCATGAGCAAGAGGTATATTAGGTTTTTCATATTTTTTTAATATATTATCAATTGAATGATTTTTAACCATTTCAATGAAATTTTCCCAATGAAAAACTTTACTTGGAAATCTTGATTTCCCGTGGTTGAAAAAATCATAATGACTTTGTGTGGAATAAGAAATTGATGAAGGAATAGTTGTTAAGAGCTCCTTTTCTGTAATTAATGGAGTACGAGAATCTGAATTAATAATTTTCTTACGTCTTCTCACAGATGAATGCATCTGTTTAAAAGATGCTGCTGGCATAATGAAAGAAACATGTCGATTTCTACGAGCTAAAAGATTGTGAATTTATAAAAAAAAAATGGTAAGAAAATAAAGTTGCATTAAAACCAGTTTTGGTTGATGTATAATGACGAAACTAAATGTAATAGTACGATTGATCCAAAGTATATAATATGGATCGAAAAGATTAATAAAACTTTTTTGTTCAGTTTGATAATTTGGGATTGAATGGACTTTTTTACGATGTTTAGTATATTTGATTCATTCGGAACCATATTAAGAAGTAGTGAATATCATGTGGATTTCAATATTATTTCAAAAGTAATCAATCGGATCAAAATAATCAACTTAAAGAGATCTTGATTGATTGGTTTTATTTCTATTTCTGGACTAAATGAAAGAAGTTTATTTTTTTTTTGTATTCAACTTCAGAGTTTTTCCGAAACACCAAAAAAAAAAAAAAAAGGTTTTGTTATTTAATTTAATTAAATCTAATGCATATTTTAATTATTCTATGTAAAAAAACAATCACTAATATATCCAATTATAAAAATTTCATACCTTTTTTTTATTGTATATTTCCATATTCGTTAACTGTAAACAAATTAAAATTACTATTATTCTTATTTCTTTATAATTGACAGATATGTCAACTATTGCAAATTAATTTTGGGACGAATTTAAGATTATAAATAAATGAACAATGTCGTCGTACAATATTTATAATTTGACCAATACTTATAAACAATTACTTTATTTCATTTTAAACTAGTATAAATTTGGATATTTATTAAAATAAAGTTTGAAAATCAGTCAAATCATTAACCAAAAAAAGTATGATAATATATTTATTTATATATCAAAGTGTCAATTGTTCTTATTTTTAATTTATGTAGAATTTTAGTCACAATGCCTAACGTTTTAAAAATATCATCGGATAAATATTATATGCGTAACTAATTAATTTACCATTCCATCGGATAAATATTAGAAAATTATGAGTAACATTCACTATTTATAATCGATTAACTAATTGTTTACTTCCAATTCTTCAAAAATTCTTTCGTCTTCTTTCCTTTGATTCCATAATTCTTTTATCTTATTAGTATTGATAATTGATTTATTTTCTTCTTCATTAATTTCCATAATATATCCATCAATGAATTTTGTTTCCACCTTTTCAAAATAAATATTTCTAATCAATACATTTTTTCCTTTAATATTATTAATCCATTCATTTCCATAAGATTTTGTTAATTCTTTTGATTCATTTTCTTCAATTTTTTCTTCAAAAGGTGATGATATTTTATTAGATGTGGTTATAATATAAACTGATTTATTAAAATGTTTTGCTGATAAGATTAATGACATTGAACCGATCTTATTAATTATATCTCCATTATTACCTGATATATGGTCTGCACCAATTAAAACATGAGTAACAGTTGGCATAAAATAATTACATGATGCATCTGTTATAACTTGTATAATTATCTTATTATAAATTTTAGAATTTGTCGATGATGATGATGATGTTGATGTTAACCATGTTGATAATTTTTGTGCAAGTGTTGCTCCCTCATTTAATGGTCGTGATTCCATTATAGTTATTTTAAGTGTTGAAATATCTTTTTCTTCTTTTTCTTCTTCTTTTGTTAAATAATTTATAAATTTTTGAATAAGTGAACAAATTGATGAATATATTGTTGATGAATAACTCATCGTCATAATATGAATATCTTCTTCTTGTTTTGATTTTTCTTCATTAAGAGAAGGAAATAATGCTTTCAAGAAATTTTCTTTGATTTTCTTATCATTTTCTTTATATGATGTTTTCATTTGTTCAATTATATTTATTATATTATTTTCATATTCTTCAATATCTATTCCCTCTTTATCTTGTAAAATTTCTTTACTTTTTTTTAAAACATTTGTTATACCAAATGAAATTGATGCTTTCATATTTGGTCTAATTTCTTTTAAATACCATCCAACATTTAATAAATTTTTCCATAATTCTTTAGAATTTTTTGAAATTTTTCTAAATTCTTTATTAATTATCGTCTCTTTCAATATATCAAGTGATTTCTTTGATAATTCTTGTGCTCCAGAATTTCTATCTTTAAACATATCATTTAATCCTTTATGAACATGTGTAGGTAAATATACTCTATATAATGTTTCCAATAAATTTGGAACACATTCATAATTATTTAATTCGGTTGGTTTAATCCACTCATATGTTTGATGTTCCCAATTAATTTGAATTTTATTTATTAAAATTGTTGTGTTAATATGAAATAAAAATGGATAAACTTTCCATATAGTTTGTTCATTTTTTCCTAAAATTGTTAATAATTTACCACTACGAATAAGTGTTATATCAGTATGGGAAAGTGATGTTTCTTCTTGAATTTCTTTTAATGCTCGTTCTAATGGTGATGAATCATTTTCTTCAATTCCTCCACTTATACCTGCCCAATGATTTCTTTATAATATATAAAGGAAGGGATGAGAAACAATCTTTTTCCAATTTAATGAATAAAAAATTATCATCTTTTTTTTTTTTTTTTTTACTACAAATTCTTAAAGGAACCTGAATGATGACTTCCACCAACGGTTCTTTGATAGTAGGTTGGAGGTTAAATGGTCGTCATATTCTCATCATTGGCGGTAACCAAATTGCTTCAAACCGTATTGAATTTGCTTTAATTGCAAAACCTAGAAAAATAACGTTAATAACCCCTCATAATAAAATCACTTCTGATAAAATTAGAGAACATATCGCAAAAAACAATGTATCTTATAAAGATAGTGAATTTAAACCAAGTGACCTTATCGAAAGTAATAATTTACCCGTAGATTTTGTTCTTTCCGCGGTTGATAATCAACAACTTTCAGAACAAATTGCTAATGTTGCTCGTGAAAAAAGGATTCCCGTTAATATAGCTGAAATACCGCATTTATGTGATTTTTGGTTTATGCCAACATATCATGATAACCATTTACAAGTTGCTATTTCTACAAATGGAACTGGACCTTATGTTGCTCGTAAACTTAGGCAACATATATTTGAAAATATACCTCCAAATATTACGGCCGCAATTAATAATGTGGATCTCTTGAAACAAAATTTAGGTGTTACTAATATATCCGCATTTACAAAGATAATTGATACTTTACCTTTAAGTGAACTCACAAAACTTACAAGTGATGATATTAAAAAATTAGTATCTAAACATAATGTTGATGATGAAGAAATCGAAGTATCTTCAACTTCGGAAAGTATGGATGAGAAAAATTCTGATGTTACTATCATCGATGAACGACAAGATTCTAGTTTTACACTTAAATCAAAACTTTTCGATGCAAATGGTGATGTTATTATTCCATCATTCACTTCAGGTGGTACTCAATTGGTTGATGGTAAAACTGCCGTTGAACATATTGCTTACGCTTTTAGTACAACTTCATTTATTTATCCAACAACTCGAACGAATTATGTTGGAAAAGCAGCTTTAAGTTGGGTTTCACAAAAAGTTCCTAATGCTTTTGGACAATCAAGTCAAGTGATTAAAATGGATACTCGTTATGGAGCATCCGCAGCAATTTTGGGTGTTATGGCTCATTCAAGATTGGATAATGTTTCAATTTTTGCAACTTCGCAATCAATTGTTCCTATGATACCAAATTTTTATGGAATTGTTCAAGCAAATATTCCCTTGGTCATACATGTTTCTGCTTCAGGGAATGACGATCAAATGATCAATTACGTTAATTATAATGATGTTTTGATAGCTCGTGAAACGGGTTTTGGAATAATTAATTCTTATTCTTCTCAAGAAATTCATGATATCGCATTGATAACTCATTTAATTTCGATAACAACAAAAACTCCATTCCTTCATGTGTTTGATGGATTAAATACTTCTCTAGAGTTATCTAAAGTCAACCTTTTATCTTATGATAGTATCAATAATTTAATTGATGAAATTAGAAGTTTACCTATTTCTTCAACTAAAAATTCAGACGTTTTGGATTGCTTTGAAATTATTGCTGATAAAATTGGCAAACTTACGGGTCGTCAATATCGTCCTTTTGAATATATTGGAGACCCTAACGCTGAATCGATCCTTGTCGTTTTAGGTGGTGAAACTGTCATAACAAAAGAGACTGTGAAACGAATTAATTATGGTGAAAAGAAAGTTGGTATTATAATTGCAAGAGTGTATCGACCTTGGTCAGAGAAACACTTTTTGGCAGTTGTACCAAAAACTGTAAAACGAATTGCAATTTTGGAACAAGTTGCATCAAAAGAAGATTATTCATTTGGGCCATCAATATTTAATGATATTGCTGTTTCATTTTCTTCGGATAATTCTTGGATAAATAAATCTCCAATATTAATAGATGCCAAATATTTAACAACGCAAAAATTTTCTCCAAGTGTCGTTCATGCTATTTTAAAACAATTGATATCTAATAACAATAACATTTTTAATGAAGAACTTTTATTGGAGAAGGTTGACATTCCTTTAATTAATAATAATGTAAAACAATGTATTTTTTGGGATTCAGAAACTCAAGAAACTATTCAAGCTGTCAAACATATTTCAAAAATTCTTGAACAACATTCTAAATTAAATTTTACTACATCATCCACTTTTGATATATACAACAATAGAGGTGTTGTAACAACCAATTTACAATTAGGAAATGATGTCATAAGTGGTTTACAAGATATTGAATCCGATTACGATTTCATTTCTGTACATGATGTTAGTTTGACAAGCAAATATAATGTATTAGCATCAGCTAAAAATGAAGCTGTTGTCGTTCTTAATACAAATTGGACTGTCGATGAATTAGAGACAAAATTACCAAATGACTTTAGATATGAAGCTTCAAAGAAAAATATTAAACTTTTTATCTTGAATTCCGAGAAAATAGCTCAGGATGTTGGATCTACTCTGAAAGCTGTTATTAGTGTAATATTTCAAAGTGTGTTTTTAAGATTATTTAGTAACGTGATCAAACTTGATTGTAATTTAGAAGATTCTATCATAGATTTATTTGAAGGTAATAATGAAAAAGAAGCTTCATTATTAATTTGCGCGATTTGTCAACAATTAGAGAAATCAATTGTAAGCGTTGAACTTCCTCCCACATGGGGAATTTTGGAAAAGTCGGATCAAAATTTACCTTCAACTATTCAAAGTAATTCATTAGATAGAAATTTGGATCAACCTGAGATAGAGAAACCAAAACTTGGGAATTGGCATGTAGTAGCTCAGAATTTACTTTTCAAAGAAGCTTATAATTTTGATCGAGACATTCGTCCTGATTTATCTGAAAAGACATACATAATTCGTGTTAGTGAAAATCGACGATTAACACCACCATCTTATGATCGATATTTGTTCCATATTGAATTTGAAATAGATGGAACTGATCTTAAATATGATCTAGGTGAAGCTCTTGGTGTATATGGACATAATGATAGTAAAGAGGTCAATCAATTTTTAGAATTTTATGGTTTAAATCCAGATGATGTTGTTTTTATACCAAACAAGGACAAAGGTAATCGTTTCGAATCAAGAACTATATTTCAATTATTTTCACAAGTTCTTGATATTTTTGGTCGTCCAGCTAAAAGATTTTATGAATCTTTGGCACAATATGCCACTGACGAGAAAGAAAGAGAAAAGTTATTATGGATGGCTAGTAATGAAGGATCTCAAGAATTTAAACGTCGCGTTGAAGACACAATAACATATGCAGAATTATTGTATGAATTTACTTCCGCACATCCACCTATTGAAGATCTCGTACAATTAATTGCACCAATTAAACCGCGTCATTATTCAATCGCTTCTGCTCAAAGTGTACATCCTAATAGTGTACATCTTTTAGTTGTTACCGTTGAATGGGAAAATTCTAAAGGTGTAAAACGTTTCGGGCAATGTACGCGTTATTTAGCCGGTCTTAAGGTTGGAGATAGTGTAACTGTTTCTATTAAACCTTCTGTTATGAAATTACCTCCAAGAGATACTCAACCTGTTATTATGGCCGGTTTGGGTACTGGAATGGCTCCATTCCGTGCATTTATTGAGGAACGCGCTCATCGTAAAGCACAAGGAAAAGAAGTTGGTCCTATGATACTTTATTTTGGTTCACGCCATAGATCAATGGAATATCTATATGGAGAGGAATTAGAGGCTTATAATATAGAAGGTTTACTAACTCATTTGAGATTAGCATTCTCACGTGACCAAGAAAATAAAGTGTATATTCAGCACAAGATGCAAGAAGATTCTGAATTGTTACATCAATATTTACTTAAAGATGAAGGTTGGTTCTATCTTTGTGGACCTACTTGGCCAGTACCTGATGTTAAAGATGCGATTGTTAATAGTTTTGTAACAGCTGGCGGTTATACTTCAGGTCAAGCAGTTGATTGGGTAAACAAGTTAAAAGATTTAGAAAGATACATTTTAGAAGTTTACTAAGAAAAAGATATTCACGTAAAACAATTTTTGATCTTAAATTATTATTAGTCATATTTGTATAGTATAATAATGTCGTTTAAAATAAGTTAATTTTTTTTTTTTTTTGTAATAGCTTTATTATATATAGAAAAAAAGTAATGTAGAATATTATAAGGAAATTAAATTTTTGGTAATTAATAAAATTATATGAAATTTTTTTACACTAAAAATTGAATATAATAAATATAGTAATCTTGTATAACTAATGTAGAAGTAAGAAAAATTGGTTACCCCGATTTAATACTAAACTCTAATCGGCTAACTTAATGCGGATCTTAATAGTAACTTTAAATGCGGATAAAATATTCCACATGGTATGATAGTCTTACCGGCCATGTTACGGGCATGGCTATTTTTGGGTTTCTTATTGAAAAATAAGTATAAAATGATTAAAACGAAACTAAAAAAGATATTCTTTTTTTTTTTTTTTACCCTTTCACCTTTTAAGTAATTAATCGGTATTACAAATCGGTTTGTTACCATTATACTGTATTTTAATCGATTCCATATAAGGTATCGCTTTTTCCGCCTCATTCATATTGTTTATTTATTGTTTGTATTTTCAAACCCCAATTTTTTTTAGTTTTTTCAGTTGAACTGAATCTCAATCAAGAAAAAAGACAAAAAATAAAAAAAAAAAAAATTTATATATATAAATTACGAGTATACACTATCTCACAAATAGCATTTTTTTTAACACATAAATAGCATTTTTAAAGAAATAGTTTTTTTTAAGAAAAGAAAAATAATTTAAATTCAATCGCGATAAAAAAAAAAAATTAATAAGTGTGATCACAATGGGGGTAACAAATGGCAAATATGACGTTGACTTTTCTGAAGAAGGTTAATATTGTTGGTTTACTTATTAGTTTTTGATTTGAAACTTTGCTAACAAAGTCAACTTTGTATACTTTATAGTAAATTTATCACACTTTAAATTATTACGAGTTGTTGGTCGAGGAGCATTCGGAAAGGTAGTATTTTTATTTCTTAAAATTATTATTATTATTATTATTTTTTTTATAAAAGAATGCAATTTTTAAATTGGAAATTTCAATTAATGTAGGTTCGAATAGTTGAAAGGAAAGATAATAAAAGATTATTTGCTCTAAAATATATTTCAAAAGAAGAATGCATTAGAATGGAAGCTTTACGAAATATATTTAGAGAAAGGTCCATGTTAGAAGAATTGGATCATCCATTGGTGTGCAATTTACGTTTTGCATTCCAAGATGATGACTATATGTACATGGTTATGGACCTTATGTATGTGTGTGAATTAATTTTTTTAAATTGAATTATCCCTCCTCTTTTTTTTTTTTTTTTTTTTTTTTTTTTT